AACATGCACAAGAAAGAATCATACCAGAGAGTCCTCTTAGTCACTTCATCAGCATAAACTCAAGTATGGGTGAAAAGGACTCCTAATGAATAAGACATTCCTATCACTCAGAGAATGCCACAGGCTTTAGGAACTCTGTGCCGGGAACCAGGAGAGAGACCAGATATGTGTGTGTGAGATTTTATTTATTTTGGCTTCTCTCTAGCTGTAGAGAGTGGAGGCCGCTCCCTAGCTGCAGTCGCGGGCCTCTCATAGTGGCGGCTTCTCTCGTTGCAGAGCGCAGGCTGCAGGGCGTGTGGACTCAGCAGTTGCAGCTCCCTGGCCCTGGAGCACGGGCTCAGTAGTTGTGGCACACAGGCTTTTGCTCAGCAGCATGTGGAATTTTCTTGGATCAGGGATCAAACCCGTATCTCCTGCATGGGCTGGTGGATTCTTTACCACTGAGCCACCAGGGAAGCCCCAGATACATTTTTTTTTTGGGGGGGGCGGGAAGGGCTAGGTATATCGTCTCTAGAAGTTTGCTCCTGCCGCTCTGTGATCAAACAATATGTACTCTCTCTATTTTTTTATGTCGTGGCTCCTGGCTCCTTATACTAAGAATAATTATTTTGAGATCATGTATGTTATATCAATAATTTATTCCTTTCTATTGTTGAATATTCTTTCATAATATGGATATCCACTCATACTTATTCATCTCTTGGTGGCATTTGGGTTTCCAGTGTTTGATCATCACAAGTAACACTGCTAAGAATGTTCATGTACAAGTCTGTTTATGGATATATGCTTTCATTTCTCTGGGATAAATACCTAGAAGTGGAATTGATGGGTTGGTTATATAGTGGTTTGTGTTTTAACTTATTAAGAAACTGCCCAGTTATTTCCTTTTAACCTTCCCACTAGTTGTGTGTGAGAATTCTAGTTATTCCACATCTTTGCCAACATGTGGTATGGTCAGTCTTTTCTAATTCTAGCTAGTTTATAGGTGTGTAGTAACATCTCACTATGAGTTTAGTTTGCCTTTTCCTAATGACTAACACTGTTGAGAATCTCTTCGTATGCTTATTTGCCATCCACTTATCTTCTTTGGTGAAGTGTCTGTATACATCATTTACCCATTTTTTAAAATTAGGTTGTTTGTTTTATTATTCTTGAACTTTGAAAAGCCTTTATGTATGCTGAATACAATTCCTCAATCACAATATGATTTGCCAGCATTTTCTCTGTCTATGCTTTGTCTTTTAATTTTCTCCAGTGTCTTTTAAAGAGCAGAATCAAAATTTCTGTTTTTGAAGCAAAATTCAGTAACAATTTAAAAAATTCAGTAACTCTGGAATTGGCAGAGTTTTATCAATATTTCTTGGCTTGAATGGTGGTCACACAAGCGTTTACCTCGTAATAAGTCAGTAAGCTGTATATTTGTTTTATGCGTCTTTCTGTACCTGTTTTGTTTTTTCAATAAAAAGTTTGTCCTCTTAAAAAAAAAAAAAGAAAGATATCCAGAAATCTCCAAATATCTGGAAATGAGTCAACTCAGTTATAAATAACTCATAGTTCAAGAAAGAAATACCAAGAGAAATTAGACAATAATTTGAATTGAATGAAAATGAAAACAGACTGTATTAGTATCTGTGAGATACAGTTAAATCAGTGCATAGAGAAAATTTTATAACTTTAAATGGTTATATTAGAAATGTTTAAATTCATTGATCTGACTTTTTAAGAAATTGGAAAAATAGCAATTTAATCTCATAGTAAATTATAAGCATTTAAATAACAGAGTGGAAATCAATAAATATAAAAAGTGTAAATAATAGAAGAAAATGAATGAAACAAAAACTAAAGATCAATATGATTGATACACATCTAGCTAGCATGATCAAAGGAAAACAAAAAGAACATACACTTTAACAGTATAAAGAATGACTGAAGAACTTTTACAGACATTAAAAGGACAATTTAAAAAAAGGCGGGGGGTGCTTTCCTGGTGGTTCAGTGGCTAAGACTCCGAGCTCCCAGTGCAGGGGGCCGAGGTTCAATCCCTGGTTGGAGAACTAGATTCCACGTGCTGCAACTAGGAGTTCACATGCCTCATCTCAAGATCCCGCCTGCAGCAACTGAAACAAAGCCAAAGAAAAAACAACAAAGAAATAAGATCAAATCTTAGTAATTTGACAATTTGGGTGAATGGGACAAGTTCTTTAAAAGATAAAAGTTGCCAACACAAGAATAAATAGAAAATATGTATGGTCCTATATCTGTGAAAGAAATGAAATTTGTAATTTAAAACCTTCCCAAAAAGAAAATTCCAAGCTCATATGGCTTCACTGATGAGTTCTGTCAAACATTTGAAGAATTAATACTGTCTTATACCAGCTTTTTCAGAACAATTAAATAAAGAGGAATAATTCCCATCTCATTTTATGAATCATACTATCTTAATACCAAAACCAAAGAAAGCTATTATAAGAGAAAGAGTAAAACTTCTACACTGAAAGGTATGAGATAGTGCTAAGAGAAATTAAAAAAGCTTACATAAATGGAAAAATATATTTATGTGTAGTACACTTAATATCTTGAGGTTCATTTCTCTAAAATTGATCTATGAATTCAACAAAATCCCCATCAGAGTCTCAGTAAGCTTTTTCTGGGAAGAAATTTCCATGTTGACTTATAAAGCTTAAATGCAGTGATCCCAGGATAGCCAAAAAACAAACAAAAACAAAACCAAAGGCAGTAGAACTATGTTAGAACACTTAGACAGCTAAGCCTCCTGGTATCAGCTTGTGTTTTAAACCTAATGCAATCAAGATACGGTGGTGTTTTTGTGAAGAACAGACATATAGATCAATGTAGCACAATAATCCAAAGATAGACCAACACATATTTAGTGTTGAATCAACAAAGATGCCAAGAAAATTCAGTAGAGAAAGGATAGATTTTTCAACAAATGATATCAGAACAATTATGTATTAGAAGGAGAAAAAGAACCTTGGTTCTTACCTTGCATTGTACACAGAAATAACATGAAATGGATCTTACACCTAAACATAAAATCTAAACTTTAAAATTTCTAAGGGAAAATAGATTAGGATGTGAGAGATTTCTTAGCACAGACCATTTACTGAAGAATTAATCCTACACCTAGTTCGGAATATGGTTCCATAATGTCTCTCATAATGTCTCATAATGTTCAATATAATTCACCATATGACCAACAGTTTCACTTCTAGATATTTACCCATGAAAAATGAAAACACATGCCCATGAGAAGACTTGTACATAAATGTTTAAAGCAGTTTTATTTATAATAGCCCTAAACTGGAAACAGCCCAAATGTCTATCAACAGATGAACAGATAAACAAATGGTAGAATATTCATACAATAACACACTTCTTGGCAATAAGAAGGAACTAAAAAACTTATGCACATAGCAATACAGGTGAAGCTTGTTTATGCTGAAGGAAAGAAACCAAAAACAAAAGACAATATAGTGCATTATTTTATCTATATAGAATTCTAGAACTATAGCAAATTGTCTTTATTAAACAGAAAGGAGATCAGTAGTGTGCTCAGATCCTAGAATTTGGGGAGATAGATTGCAAAAGAGCACTTTCTGGAAAATATAAATATGTGGTATCTTGATTAGGACAGTAGTGTATGTGAAAAACTCATTTAATGGTACACTTAAACATGCATTTAATTACCTCAGTTTGTTTCAAAAAGCAAAAGAAAGGGTGGCCAGGGGAAATGATGCCAAACTATTGCCCATCAGTAGATGATAGAGATTTAATTTCTGCTTTTTCTGTTTGGATAATAGTTTTGGAGGTTCGCTTATTGAATAATTGCTCCTTTCTCCATTTTCCTGCCTTGCCACTTCAGTTACATATCAAAGTTCCATGCATGTGCGGGTCAGTTTGTGTGATTCCTGTTCCATTTCATTGGTCAGTTTGTTTATCCTGTCTTGACTATTTTAGCTTCATAATGGGCCTTTTAATCATCATTCTCTTTCTTCAGAAATGTCCTGGCTATTTTTGAGCCTGTGTTTTTTTGCATGCACTTTATAAAAAGCTTATCTGTGTCCGTGTTCTATGGAAAATCCTGTTGGAATATTGACAGGAGTTATATTGATACTGTAGATGAATCTGATTAGAGTTTTTGCAATATTAAATCTTTCTGTTCCTTACCATACTGTATCTTTCTACTTATTAAAAACTTCTTTACTGTCTCTCAATACAACTTTGTAATAACAGTCCTGCACATATTTTGAAAGATTTATTTAAAGACATTCAATGTTTCTTACTCTGGTGTAAGTGAAATCTTCTTTCTAATTATACTTTCTTGTAGTTTATACTTGCTGTGTAGTAGTATGATTTTTTGATATTAATATATCCAGGGAACATTGGCTTTTTCTTTAGAAAGAATCTCATTGATAGGTTAGCAGAATTTGTCATGTGTGTGTGCACTCACATCTTTATTATTTTTGGAAAGTGGTGGTGTTGAGGGAGAACTTCCCCAAATTCCTTGTGTTATTTTTTTAATTAAGTAGGGAAGTTCTCCTGGAGAAAGAAATGGCAACCCAGTCCAGTAACCTTGCCTGGGAAATCCCCTGGATAGAGGGGCCTGGTGGGCTAGAGTCGATGCAGTAACAAGGAGTCGGACACGGTTTAACGACTCGGCAACAGCAAACTTAACATGTAAGGTTGGCCCTGGGCTGCAGGGGAGAGGACTCGCCAGAGGTGTGAGCTTTAAATTGAGTCAGCTGTTCGTGCAGCTGTGGGTGTCAGTAACAGGCGTCTTTTGTCAAGCCGATATCCTTTTGAGGGGAGCATTTTTTTTTTATTGAGTTATAACTGACAAAATTATATATGTTTAAAGTGTACAGTGAATACCAGAATAGAGTTAATGAAGCTAGTACCCTCAAATGAAGACATCGTGTAGTTTCCATTCTAGGGATGGAGGCTGGCATTGTTAAAAACATGTCACTCTTCTCTTCTAGTATCCGGAGCGTGATGCAGAAGTATCTTGAGGAGAGACACGAAATCACCTTTGACAAGATTTTTAATCAGAGAATTGGTAAGTCTGGCTGTTCATTTGGCAGACTGTTAATTCTAGTCATGATACTACAGTAAAGTGTAAATGCAGCTCCCGATGCTGTCATATGTGTTATAGCTCAAGCTGTGGGTGAAGGAAATGGCATGTAGTTAATAAGATCCTAAGTGATTTCTTATGTCCCTAGTAATGTCTCTTGTAAATAAGCTACTGGGAAACAGACAAGTTTGGGTGTAGGTTTTAAGGCAGCGTGGAAGATTCCCCAGGTCCACGGATCGGGTTCTTGATACCCAGAGAGAAATCTTCTGTTCAGGTCTGTGCCTGAGGTCCTCATCTTCTCTCACTGACCTTGTACTTTCCATGATCACAGGTGTTGGCATGTGTCTTCATCACCCTCACCCCACTCTGTGGTTGGCCGTGTGCTTCCCAAGTGTGGGGTCGGCTTACTGGATCAGTTCTCAAGGGTCCATGGGTTTTGTTTGCCGCTCACTCTGGTCAGTTCCACCTCAGTCTCCCTTATTCCTATGGCTCTATTTGGAACCTCTGCTTCGCAGGTCAGCAGGACTGCTCCTGCTGTGTACGCAGAGCTCCGTCGCCCACTGGCTGATGCCCTCGACCTGCGCAGACGTGTGGTTCTGTAGGAGTGCTCCGTGGTCCCCAGCAGCTAGTGCCCTGGAGAAGTTGGGACCAGACAGAATTGCTTTAGTAGGAATTTCAAGGCCCATGAAGAAATGAGATCCTTTTTTCCCACCTGCCTTCTGAAAGACTAGCAGCTTGTTCAAAGGTGCCTGTCAGCTGGGTTAGAGGAGCGCTATCAACTATGTATTTCTGTTTTGCATTCCCCCAAATCAGTCCCCCCCATCCAGAAATTTCCTGGACAGTCTTTTGTTCTCAATGATAGAATTCATCTTTGGCCTGTCAGCTGGCTCTGTTGTTCACTTGCTCTATTGTTAACTTACAGTGATGTAATAAACAGATTATGCTCAAGTTTTTACAAAAAAATCAGTGTAGCTAAATGTAAGAGACCAGGAATCTGTCCTCTCTTTGCATCTTGTTTGCCTTCCACAAATGTTCAGAGGAGCTTTGCAGGGAAACTGTGTCTTAGTTTTTAAATTGATGTAATACTAGAGGAAATTTTTAAAATTCCAAGAAATTATAGTCTTTCTGAAGTTTCCTGAAACTCTGCTTCTGCAAGTGTTTCTGCTCCCATGATGTGCAGACACAGGCCGACTTGTCCCTTCGAGACTGAATATTCTGATAGGCCTGGGTCATTCTTCTGTGTATAGGTCAGGAGGCGAGACTCAGGTTGATGAAGTGACTTGTTCTGATATTACATTCTGATAATTCTTTGAAGGCTCCATTACTATAAAATGTACTGTAGAAGGCCACCCGGTAAGAATTGGATAGATTTGTTTTTTTTTTTAAGAAACAGTTACAGTGACCTCCTTTATTCAAGTAAAGCAGAAACTGGTATGGAAAGTCTTTGGATTTTTGTGAACCACTGTCTGTCACAAAGTGACCACCTATGAAGAGGAACTAGAGTCTCTTGATGAGGGTGAAAGAAGAGAGTGAAAAAGCTGGCTTAAAACTCAACATTCAAAAAACTAAGATCATGGCATTCTATCACTTCATGGCAAATAGATGGGGAAAATGTGGAAAGAGTGTCAGATTTCATTTTCTTGGGCTCCAAAATCACTGCAGACAGCGACTGCAGCCACGAAGTTAAAAGACACTTGCTCCATGGAAGAATAGCTATGACAAACCTAGACAGTGTATTAAAAAGCAGAGACATCACTTTGCCATCAAAAGTCTGTAGAGTCAAAGCTATGGTTTTTCCAGTAGTCAGGTGTGGATGTGAGAGATGGACTTAAAGAAGGCTGAGCGCTGAAGAATTGATGCTTTCGAATTGTGGTGCTAGAGAAGACTCTTGAGAGTCCCTTGGACTGCAAGGAGATCCAACTAGTCAGTCCTAAAGGAAATCAACCCTGAATATTCACTGGAAGGACTGATGCTGAAGCTGAAACTCCAATACTTTGGCCACCTGATGTGAAGAGCTGTCTCATTGGAAGAGACCCTGATGCTGGGAAAGATTGAGGGCAGGAGGAGAAGTGGGCAATAGAGGATGAGATGGTTGGATGGCATCACTGACTCAGTGGGTGTGGTTTTGAGCAAACTCTGGGAGATAGTGAAGGACAGGAAAGCCTGGCATGCTGCTCTCCACATGGGGTCACAAAGAGCTGGACACGACTTAGCCACTGAACAACATGAAGGCTATAGATTTGCTGTAATGACCCACTAAATACAGTGGGCAAAAGGCAGGTGGCGTGCTCTGGAGAAGCCGATCAGGAGTGGCCCTTCTGCTCTGAGGACGACTTAGGGGAGCCCTTAGCCACACAGAAGGTTTCACCCTGAGCATAGGGGTTTGGTGGGGGGACAGATTTAGCTCTCATCTCATCCTCCATTGCCTCTTCTTGTCGCTTTCGTGGTGTTTGGTTAACTGCCATCTGTACAAAGCCTCTCCTTTGCTTCTGAGTTTGTACCAAAAAGCAAAAAATTAAACTGTCCTGATGACCAGAGAAAGAAACTCCATATCTTTGGGAGGAAAGGGAAAAAAAGGAATTCTTTAATGGTGACTTAAAATTTTTCAAATGTTTTATAGCTCTGTTGAGGTACATTTGATACAGTATATTTCACCTATCCAGTTCAGTGGGTTTTGGTGTATTCACAGAGTTATGTGACCATCAGCACAGTCTCATCGTGGAACATTTTCAGTATCCCAAAAAGAAACTGCATCAGGACTCCCCTGGTGGTCCAGGGGTTAAGACTCTGTGCTTCCAGTGCCTCCACTGCAGGGTGCAAGGCTTCAATCCCTGGTTGGGGGACCAAGGTCCCACATGTTGCAAGGCGTGGCCAAAAGATCAATAAATAAATAAAACAAAATAAAATATCTCCCTTTGCCTGCCTCCCTGGCCAAAGGCAGGGAAGAAGCACCCATGAGCAGCCCCTCCCTCTCCACCTTCACTGTGCCCCTAACCCCTAAATACCACTCATCTAATTTCTGCCTGTATGGATTTGGCCGTGTTGTGCTCGCCACATAGACAGTATCATGTAACGTGGTCTTTTGCATCTGGCGTCTCTCAGCATGATGTTTTCAGGGTTCATCCATGTTGTTGCATGTGTATTGGCACTGCCTTCCTTTCTTCTTCCCCATAATATTCCCCTGCTCCACTGAGCCACGTTTCCTTCATCCACTCATCTGCCAGTTGTTTCCAGTTTTGGCTCTTAGGAATAATGCCGCTAGGAGAGGAAGCTTGTTTTATTTTTTTTCTTTTTTCTTCAGCTAAGACAGCAAAAGAGATGACTTATTGTACACGTTACATTCGGCCACAACTGAGAAGAGAATTACTGTAGAATATCATGTGGGTCCAGGGCAAAGGACCGAAAGAGGGACCGCCTCGATAATGAGCCAGATGGGTCTCTCAGAGGTGGTGGAGGTGATCAGTACGGCCATAGATGTTCCCAGACCCACCGAGACAAGCTCAGGATGGTGGGCATGCAGCCCAGCAGTCTGCACCGGCGTCCCTGGCTCTGGCTCCTTGTTTCTGCTCCTGTGGCCTCCGTGGCGTACCAGTTTCCTTGGACCCCTGCCTCGTCTTTCTTCTTCTGCTCTTCAGCCTGCACATTCTCTTCTTCCTCCACTTCACTCTCGTGGCGTGGAGATTTCTCAAAAGATGGCCCTAAGGCCAAGAGAGGAAGGTGTTCTTCAGCGTGTAATTTGAGCGGGTGGTTTCGTGTTACTGAGATGCCCTGGGGATTGTGACAGGCTTGCCCTCCCCTGCAGCTCTAGTTTCCAGTCTCTGAAATGCATCAGGGTCTCTTTCTTCGTGTGTCGTTTCTGCCCCTCGCTCTGCCTCCTGTAACTGCTTTTGAGTCTCTCATCCATCAGCCCCCTCATCAAATGTGCGAGGCCCAGAGCTGTCTTTTCCGTGGTTGTGATTAAACCCTCACCTGAAGCTGGCTCCAGGAGCCTTTGATGTGAGCCCCTAATTGCATTAACTCCAGCCTCACAGATTCTCCTCCCGAGAGTAGCTTCACCAGGCACTGGTGGTCTGTGGCTTTTATCTCAATTAAGTTATTAAAAATCCAAAACGTGGTTCGGATAAAGAACTCCTCCCTCCCTTCCTCCTGACTCCTGAGCCTGGAGCTGGTGAGCCTGTCGGGGAGAAGCCAGGTTTGAACTCGGTGGGGGTTGGGGTGGGGAAGGAGGACAAGGTAAGCGTGCAGACACAGATCTGTAATTACGTGTGGACAGAGTTCTGTGTTGAACGTGTCTGCTTCTTTCCTGCTCCATGGCGTTCCCGTTTTCTGGCTGGTGGGAGGGATGGGGCGAGTGGAAGGTGGACTGAGATTGCAGTCCCTCTGAGTCTCCTGGTCTCTGGCTTCCTGCTCTGCCTTCCCCATCTCTTCCCTCCGCCCCTCTCCATGACTCTCCGTGTGTTTCCGCCTTGCCGCTTTTCTGTGCTCCCCTTGTCTCCCTTTCACCTTTGATCCCCCGCTACTCCCCTCCTTGTCTCTTTTTCCAAGCCTGCCAGCATCCCCCGTATTGGCTGGCAGTTGACACACAGTTTTGGGGACCAGACTCCAATGTGGGCTATAGCCGACATGTCAAAGTGCTTTCTGAAACAAACAAAATATACAGAAATCTTCCATTTACTTGGCTTCTGAGGCTTTGCTGGGTGGCAAGTGATTGGCAGGCCTGTTGGTTACACCCAGACTGGTGGTCATTTCAGCTGTCCCCCTAGCTATAAAAGTGGGGATACGAATGGTACCCACTTCAGTAGCCCTTGTGAAGATCCAGCAGGAAATGGATGCAAAGCCCTGAACATGGTGATTGTTCTTCCCAGATGCTCAGTGAGTGAAATCTCTTACTATGAAAAGTTTTAGTCTCGGGTAAAACTGGGCCAGAGTAATGACCCCCCCATGCTATATACTGGGCTACCCTGGTGGCTGAGATGGTGAATAAT